AAACTTCTGTTCTGTGTGCTTATTTAAAACAGTTTAAACTCATTATAAAGTATATAGATTATGTAGCACTACATTTAGCAGAACAAAACAAACAAACGGTTGGTGGTACCAGTCAGTAGAATGTTAATTATGAATGAAATGTGCAGTGCATTTTTATGTTATGCATTCACTAAAATTCACCATTCTTTAAAAGAAAAAGAAAATGAATAAGAAAGAAAGAAAGAAAGAAAGAAAAAGAAAGAAAAACTCTCTAGGGAAGTTAGATCTGAGAAAAATTTGCTTGCAGATGTCACTTCACTTGGTTTAAAGTTTCATCTAATGCAAGAAAATGAAATTCATACAATAATTGTGGCTAAAGTGTGCTTTTAGGCCACTGTAATAATAGATATATAATGTGCCTTATTTTTATTTATGTGCCTATTAATTACAAATGTTGAATTAATTTATATTGCACAGCAATGATAACCTAATAACCTATGCTTTCTGATTCACATACAGCATGACTTTTATGTATGTATATATGTATGTATTTTGCCTTGAATTAAAACTTTGTGATTTTGTGTTTTAAGTTAGGTCAGATTAGTTCACAGTAGGCTCTTTGCATTAACACCTATATTTTGTTTGGCGTTTGAGAGACTCCAAGACCATTGTAATAGCTCAAAAACATACATAAGGTTAATTTTCAGTTTATAGATAGATTGACAGACAGACAGACAGATAGATAGATAGATAGATAGATAGATAGATAGATAGATAGATAGATAGATAGATAGATAGATAGATAGATAGATGTTTTCCGTCACTGCTGTCTTCACAGGTTTTTTTTGTATTGATATTTGGCTCCACCTGGTGGTCAATGTCGGAAAGAACATAACCGCTATTTGGGGTAGTTCACACAAATATCATAACAGTTGCATGTGACATGCCATATTTACTCACTCACTCACTCACTCACTCACTCACTCACTCACTCACTCACTCACTCACTCACTCACTCACTCACTCACTCACTCACTCACTCACTCACTCACTCACTCACTCACTCACTCACTCACTCACTCACTCACTTACTCACTCACTCACATAAATAAATACATAAATAGGCAGATGACTGGCTACAGTATAACTACACACTTTCCCTTATATTTGCATATACATTTTAAACTAAAATGTTGTTTGTTTTGGTCTTCTCTTCAGTGTTACATGATAATTATCATATTGAGGTATGGTATTAAAGATCTATTATTTTAAATGGCAAAATGATTATAAGTAAATACTTTCCATTGGATTTTCATAGTAGATTAGGTGTATTGTTGGTTCTATTTGTTGTTATATTTAATTGAACTTGCTTAGTATGCTAGCAGGGATGCCCTTTTGTGCACTGCATTCTTATTAGGTATAGATAATAAAAAAGTCATCATATTTTTTAAAGGCCAGTAGTGAAAATATATTAAATTGTTCCACCTGTGTCATAACAGAATGAGATAAAGAGCTCTTTGTTTTTTATTCAATAGGCAAATATCAGCTATTGTTCCTTTGTGTCTCAATTGTGATTTGAGCTGCAGGGATGGATATCGCTTTCGAGCCAGCCTTAAGAAGAACAGAGTCGTCTCGTTTCATTTGCTTAATTACCTAATTAACACAACTCTAATTACTCCCTTTTTGAGCACGAGTGCATATTGAGAAGATGTTACATAACGAATAGTAATCCTCAATTAATTTTTTAGAGTGCCACTTTATCACAACAAGACCAGATCCATAGAGCATCGGTCAAGCCACATCTACGTGATGTCAACACAATCCAAATTTCCTTTTGAGAACCAAACCACATGTCAGTCTTATGCAAATGACTCAGATTTTCCTGGAGACATATGGAATTTGTATTAAAGTTCTTCAGCCAATTACTGATGAATTGAGTTTATTTTTTTATTACAGTGGTGACCTTTTGACCTCAAGGGGAATATTATGTGATCTATTCATTATCGTCTAATCTTAGAAAAAATACAAAATTCACACAGAAAATGTCTCTTTAAAACCTGACATTAAAATGACATAGTCAGATGATAATAGTGTTATGTTATACTGTATAGTATCACCAGAAATAATGAATGTAAATTAATGACAGACTGTATTTATATACAGGTAATATTTTTTGTTATAAACAAAATACTGATGTAATTGACCAAAATTGTGTGTCATACAGTATACACACTTTGACCTGTTTTAAAATATTTATATCTTGATAAGGTTTTTAATGTTGCTTTTACATATTTCAGTAGATGTCCGTCTCTTTCTTGAAAGTATTCTTGGTTAACGGCAGTGGACACAAAGTAGAAAAAGAAGTCAAAAATGGAGTATATCTCCATGAAGGGCGTGTCTGTGATTGATGTATCCGTCTCATGCCTGCAGGCGTGCAGTTTTTCTGGATAAGAATATAGGCCAGTGACGCCCCTTGACATTAGATTTCATACTGTTTGCAATATGTCCCAGGGACAAAAGCATTGCAATGCCTCTCCTTGTGATCTGCAAATGTCAAAACAGTGTTTATGGAGGTACAAGTTTTTTTTTTTGTGAAGATTTCTAAGATGACCAAAAATGTTATTGCAACAGTTAATTTAATAAAAAAGATTCTAAAACATATCTGAGAAGGACTAGTGTGAATTAAGCCAGGACACCTTAGCTGCACATGTGTACATATTTTGTTATTTTAAGTCTATGTTAACACATTACTGTATTCTAGTTGGCATGTCAGGTGGTTGAAGTGTTTTATTTATTTATTTATTTATTTGGTCTGGTCTATAATGCACTGGATGATTTAGAATTTTTACCTTTTTTTACTTTGATACAAATAGTTTGATAATTAAAATTAAGTTTTAACTTCTAATTAGCTTAAATTAACTGTTATTACTTTCACTATAACTATTAATTTGTTTATCTTTAGAAACCATTTTTAGCAGACTTGTTTTTATATATTGAATTTATTTCATGACAAAATTCTAAAAAAATCAGCTCCACATGTCAGCAGGAGACACAATAGTCCAGAGGGTGGCGCTCTATATCCGTGAAACACATCAACTTGGGCCCACAAAGACGCCCGTCTTTCACTGTTACTTGAACTGTGTATTTCAGTCCTTGATCAAGGACAGTCAAACTGTCCCTTACTCCAAGATCTGAGATTAATGCTGTTCACACCGAACAGTATCCATCTTATTGACCCGACCAATAATTATGCTCTCTTTTTCCTTGTCTTTTCCTATTATTATTTCGTTTTTTTTTTAAAGAATAATCAAATTATATAAACATACATACATATATGTACAGTTCACTACATACAGATTTCACTGAAAATGACCTTTTGGCTTTTGGGATTCTTCTTGAAATATATTTGTGGCTAGCTGATATGAAATACTTTTGGGAAGCTGGGTGTAACATACTGTTTTAAACAGCATTTTGTAAAATATTCTATAATTATTATGAATGCTGCTTTTATGAACTATTTTAAAAGAAACATGCAAATCTGTCATAGCTTCATGTGAGAAATGGCTGTAATTAGAGGCTATTCTAATAGATGCATAACAATATTCAATATCATGTGAATAAACCATAAAAACACCGCGGCGCGGTTCAAATGAACACCACTCTCTCATTTAGCATCAGTGTTGGGCTAGTTACTCAAAGAATGTAATATATTACTCATTACTAGTTACTCCTTTCAAAAGTAATATTGTTACTTTACTTATTACTTTCTGGCAACAGTAATTAGTTACACTACTAGTTACATTACTTTTTCTTCACGCCCCACAGAAGTTGTAACTGTGTGTCTTCCAAATAAAATTCTAGTGATTGATAGTGACATTCAAGTAGAAGTGTTGTATTAATCTCATTAATTGTCATGTGTAACCCATATATGATTATATTTCATTATGTATTTTATCAAATCACATAAGTTTGTAAGAAACTGTTTAATTTTCAAAAAAGATTTATAGTAATATAATGTACCACATGCTGATCAGAGGGATGTGGGTGGGATGTAATGCCAGAGTAAAGTAAAGCCACAATTTACACAACAGTGTTCAGATCATATTTTTTCCTGACAAAATCAATATAATGCAATATTTCTATCTGCTGAAAGTAAGCTTTTCCATATTCCAAGCTTGCCTTCTGCACTGGGAACATCACATGCATGTGCGAGCCGTGAAAATTATGAAAATAAATCTAGGAATTATTTGATTGTTGGATTTTAAATCAGCGGGGTTGAGGCATCAAAAGTAACTAAGCTGTTTTATGGATGGTAACTGTAATATTATTACTGAAATCTTGTTAGTAATTAGACACACACACACACACACACACACACACACACACACACACACACACACACACACACACACACACACAGTCCCTTATACATTATACAAGATTTTACATTTAATGTAAAATCTTGATATTTACATGTGCCAACTACACTTATTTATTAGGCCAAAGAAAGTTAAGTGAATATGGTAGTACACTGTGAATTTAGTTAAGACTAAATCTGGTTATAACCACTGAGTGGTTACTGGACTTTCACTTTTTATGCTCATATTTCGACTACTATTAAAATTCCCACACTAACTGCACTTCCTTTCTTATGGGTTGTCCTTCTCCTGAACTGTCACCCCCACCTTGTCTTGCTTCATTGGACATTTTCCTGGGAAAAAAAGAAATTCTGTACTTAGCCTACATCAGTTGCAATTACCAAACTAACTAGCAAAGAAATTAGTCAAGATTACGTCGTCTGACAAAAAATGAATCTCCTATCTCTAAGCTAACTTATGTATCTTGTGACTTTTTGACACTTTTGTTTTGCAGCGCAAAGGACTGCATGAATGTTGTTTACCCAGCAGGTGGATGTGACGTCACGGGCGTAGAACACAAAAAAAATAACAACATCCAAATCCGCGATTCTCTCTCTTTTTTGTGTGTGTGCAAGGCGCAATAAAGTGTAATATCATCCGAAGCAGCTCCGCGGAGAAAGGCGGCGTAAACCGGGCACGAAACGGCGGCGTTGCTCCCAGTACAGTGTTTGCAGCTGAAGTTAGTACCGCTGGCGGAGTGATATATTTGTTGGTTATTTACAGTACGTTTTATAGCACGCGCTCATGATATACAAGATCGCGTGAAGAGTTGAATTTGTTATCGCGCACAGATTTCCGCGTTTATCGCGTCTCTGTCAAACCCCGGTAAGTTCATTCTCTTCCAGCATTCTGCAACATTTTAGGACACATGGACAGTTTTTCTTTGTTATCTAACTGTTGCCTTATTGTTTTTAACGGCGTAATAAGCAAGTTAACAAACAGCATAATTGCTCGCGTGTCTAATAACTGCTGTCCGGGGGATTAATTCTATTTTCAGTCTTCAAGTACTTTTTCAGAAGTTAGCCCTGTGGCTAGCAAGTTGTTACGCTGTTCATTTTTGTTTGTGGAAACAACACTTTAACACTAACGCTAACGTTACATGTGTGTGACCGTTCTGGTGTGCCGTGATGCGCAAAAACGATGTATTGAAATCTCTGTGTGTTCGTTATCGATGGCGTAAAAGTTTGCGAGCCGAGATTTCTTTCGGTGATACAGTGTTGTATAGGGGACTTTTCCCCACGTGTTCCTTCAACCACAAAAAAAAAACTTCTACTGGTGCATCTCTTCACTATTAACGCGTACGAAAACCGTTCAGAATATCGCAAGAATTATTCCGTGCATTAAAAAAAGTCCAGTGCAGTCTATCATCCGGTTGGGCTATGGAGTTGAGAACAGAAGCTTTCAGAATTAAGTGTTACTTGAGCAAGAGCAGGCTGTGTTTCAAAACCTAGTGAGCTGCCTAGCTGGACAGCATTTTTGAGCCTCATGTGGATATCGAATGTTCGAACGCGCCTGTCAATTCCATAAATGCTGTCATATCTCAGGGTTTGAGACACAGCCCAAGTGTAGCTCGAGTGAAATTGGTTTTCAACATGATTGTGTTGTAACAAGTGTCAGAGTTAAATGTGCCTTAACTGCTTGTACTTTCGGAGTTTGGGATACGTAACAAGTGGATAAATACATTTACTACAAATATAATAATAAAAGTCGAGCAATAGTTAGCTTACAAAAGGTGGAGGACAGAAACGTTTAAACTGCATGCAGTCCTTGTGCACTTGATCAGAATACAAGTAGCACTTTTCTTAAAATGTCAGTTGAATTTTTAACAGTGTACATTTAATTATAATTAACCTGAAGTACTCTTAAAATAATACTATGTTTGATCCCACTATTGTTCATCGTTCTTTTAAAATATATACATTTTTACATTCATATATTTGGTTGTTTTTTAACATTTACAAATTAAACAGAAAAAATGTATCATAGATAGAATAGACATAGATACATTTTTTACATACATTGCAATGGTGTACTTTATATCCTTCTCATATAAATTTGCATACACACACAAAATGGATCCATGCAGTTTTTTTTTAATTTTGAAAATGGCAAGGTACAAGAAATGTTGCTTTTTGCATTTGTGTGTGAATGTATATTATTACTATGGGTGTAATAAAAAGGGTACAAGCTGAAATTACTAATCATTAATTGTAATATTTACCATTACCATTATTTATTTTCCTATTGATTCACATAAATGTAACTTTTAAATGTCTTTTAAAATTGCACTTTAAAATAAGCAGCAGCAGCTTTAACACCAGTGTTGGGCAAGTTACTCTGAAAATGTAATCAAATTATTGATTGCAGTTATTAATGATGTTATTAGAAAGAGAGTGAGAGAGACAGAGACACACAGAGAAAGAGAGAGAGAGAGAGCTTGTGTGAATTAGGCTAGCTCCGTGCGTCCGTTAACAGTGTTCTGCAGCAGCGTCTCTAAACAGCGCTGTTATTACCTCGCTAGTGAGAAATGTCACGTGTAGCCTTCAGTGTTGGGCAAGTTACTCTGAAAATGTAATCAAATTACTGATTACTGATTACTCCTTTTAAAAGTAATCACGTTACTGTTCTGATTACTTTATTTCAAAAATAATTAGTTACATTACTAGTTACGTTACTTTTTTCTCCATGAAATGTATGAAATCCCAGCATACACTCCCGATAAATATTTGTTATTAAAGCTTCAACATTCACAGAACAATCTCTAAAAGACATCTCAGTTCATCGCAATCTCACAAATCTCTGTTATAACACAATAAATATATGCATAATGAATCTTTCATAATGTCTACAATTCGTGTGTTATAATGAGAGGATTCGCAAATTTCAGCACTGTGTTGCTCAGCAAACACGTGTTGTAGCCTAAATAGAAACTCTGCATACGCTTGCACCTGTTAATCGTTTATATTTTATAATAGTTCATGTAGCTTTTGTGCAATAGATGAATAACAATTAATTTGTTTTAGATATTTTATGTTTAGATATTTCTATTTTGCGGGAGTCCCGTGAATCATTTTATTCTCCCGCATCCCCCACTCACGAGTGTCTAGTAATGTGGTCTTGGATGCCCGAAATAGGTGTTGCAAATATGGTGGCCGAGTGAACAGACTTTCCTTGAAAGGGACTTTGGCAGAGCTGTGGCCCTCCAGGAATTGAGACCAATGTTTTAAATTAATGATAATTAATTACACAATTTTGAAAGAAATGCAAATAGAATTTGCAATTCACAAATACATTTTTAGAGTAACTGGTATTAGTTATAGACACAAGCAGGTTACTGAAATTAATATCAAGTCACATTAACTAAAATCTCTGAAGAATAAATTAATATTTCTAAAGTTTCTGAATCTTATTAATTAATATAATTACTACTAATTGAACATCAAACTGGTTTCTTAACATTTTCTTTAGACAAAGCACAAATTCATTGTTTTTTCCTGCCCTCTTTTGATTGACAGGATATGTCGGCCCTAACTGTTGGCTGTTTATAAACTATCGGCCTATAAATATTGGTGCATCTCTATTATTTTCCTTTTTTATGGAGCAGTTAACCAATAAAGTGCTGCTTGGCCCACTTGACAACTCAGAGATTTGCAATTACATTTCTAATGTGATATGATGCATCATGATTTACATAATCTGCTTTCAATATCCTCAGCAAAACTATATTTGGATATCGCAAAATAATACATTTAAATTACTTACATGGTATATAGAAGAACACCTGCCAGCTATTCAGGATCTGGAAAAAAACAACAACAACAAAAAACAGAGAAGTATGTATAATAATGCTTGTAGAAAAGGCTGTTTAAGTTAATCTAATCAATGTTTGGTTAGAGGTTAGGGTTGCCACCTTCAGTGTAGTAAAACCATAGGGGTAATACAGTCTATGGGTAAAACCCATTCAACACCCCTCAAAAATAAATAAATAAATAAATAAATAAATGCCATGACAGGCTTGAAGGACACAAATAAAGAATAAGACACTAACTAATAATTTCCACACATGACAACTTGGCAGCTCAACAATAAAACATGAAAAAATGTTAAATTGATTATTTATTTCTAAAGAACTCTATCAGAATACGTAAGTGTGTCTTAAGCATTTCATTCTGTCTGGTACCATTTATAATTTTTTAGACAATTTTGGATGAGGTGAATTTCTTTAACTTAAATTATGACTACACGTATAGTTATACATTAGCAACATGTGCCTGTTATTTGTCCTACTATTAACTATTTTAACTCTTTTAAATGCCATACATTTTATATGACAGGATTATTTATTATGTAGCCTTTGATCATAAATTATGAAACATTATTTATATTAATAGCATTTTAAAAATAAAACATTTATAATCTTAATGCCAATATTAATAACCTATAAAAATCAATTAATGATATGTCTAATAATGTCTAAAATATAATAGGTTATCTGTCTAAACTCTGATAGTATATGTAATATTATATTTGTAGATATTAATATATGTTCACCTTGAGCAGCAGCTTTCGGTAATCTATGCAATTCGCCTTCACGGACAGACGCATTGACAATTTTTTTCCCCATTCACCTTATATTTGCAGAACCTCTTCTTCTGTTTAATGTGGGGACACGAGCTCGTGTTTAAAAATGCGCGGGATTACAGCGCGCGATAGCCACACATCCGTCGCTTTGGAAACAAAGTTATTAAAATGCAATCCCATGCAAACGGGCTTCTCTACTACTAATTCTGAAATTGATTATTATTATTATTCTGTTAGTCCACACTGCACACTTATGTGTTTATTCGGCTATGTGTGACATTTGTTGGGCAAAAAAATAGATATGGATTTTTCCTGTATTTTACGGGTAGCTTATTAGAAGTGGGTCTCTTTAATTAAATAGCTGTCTAAATTATGCCTATAAAAAGAAAAAAGCGTGGGGAAAATGGGCATCAACTCGATCGAGCAGCTGTTGAATTTCACGATTTAAAAAAAAACATCTAAGAGAATAATAAAAAATAAAGGAATATTCAACTGATAAACAAACGTTTAACTACTTGACCTGACTGTAAACGGTTCAATGATGTGTGTATTGTTTTAAATTTCGCGAATATTCCAATGTCCAATCAAATAATTTAGTTAATTAGCAAACGTCCCCACTGTCTTACAGCTAAAGAAACTTTTTTATGAAATACTTGTATTCTGTTCTATTCTGTTAAGGAATATACCGTTTATTAAAACACTCTGACATCATTTAACCGAAGTCATAATCAAACATACTCACCGCAGTCGTAGCTTGCTTAAGCACACACACACACACACACACACTCTAGGCCTCCTAACGTCAAGTGAAGTGACAGAAAAAGTCCGCCAAGCGGTAGCAAAATGGCGCAATTGGAACAATACACATGACCTTTTGCAATACGTGTGTTTTTTTTTTTTTGCTATGATGCATCATGCTGGACACATTTCTTTTACAGAGAAGTATCCTCAACTGAACAGAGCTGGTCACACTAACAGCACATGTTCTGTTTAACTAAAAAAAAAGAAAGAAAAAATACATGATTTGATTAGTAGGAAATGTACAATTTGAAAGCTATGATTTTAAGAAATTAAGATATTTTAGGAGAGAAATAATTTTACCTATTGAGAGTGTTCGCGCAGTCTGTACAATGGCTGATCTCCAGAAAATCAGTAATGATGTGGCTTTGACAGTTAAAGGGATAGTTCACGCAAATGAAAATTACCACATGAACAGATGCAGCTCAACAAATTAGAATATGATG